CTAAATGTGAAATGACACAGTTCCTTTTGTTCCTAGGGAGCCCTCGCTGATTTTTGCTTTGCAGCAAGACTGATCACATAAGGTATGTGTTTCCATCCACCTTAGCAGAATGTCAATTAAAGGATTAATTATGATTGTTCCACTGTCCAAAGGACTGGTTAGTTCAGTCCAGTTCCAAAACCAGTTCCTTTTTCCTTGGAAAAAAACAATCATGTTAGTGTGCCATGAGATTGTAAACCTCAATAGAGAAAAGTACAGCTCTTAGTGCTACCTGAGAACCCCTTCATCAATAGTCTGCTTTCTTTACAAACATTAAATAAGAACACTACATACTGTGTTATTTTAATTATTTGGATGTATTTTGAGATTAATATATAAAGTTCTTTCAAGCTCAAATCTTTGGAATAGTTTATCTGGAACTGTTTCCCTGAACTTTTACTAGTTCCAACTCACGTCCTGAAGTCAGCAAGATCTAATTTTGAGTCATATCTTTAATATTGTGCAAAATTATTTTATCTCTCATGCAAAAAGAACTATCTAAACATAAAACTTAACACACGAAATTAAACCTAAATTTTTTCAACAATACCATTTTCACAGTCCATGTACTTTCCATTTTAGTACTTTGGCTTTCCAAAAACTTTCCCAGAGAGAACATTGCATACATCTAGTGGAAAAACAGTGAGAAGCCTTTCGCAGTAAAGGTGTATTAAAATTTGATTAACAAAGCATAATGGGAATTGACCTTTGATTTTAATGTAATGAGTAATAATCTTTGCTAAACTTAGAGGAAGACTTTTTCAAAACCAAAAAGTATGTTTTACCCTAAGTACTCCCTGCTTTTGGCCATGTAGTGCACAGTAAACTCAATGGACCCAATATATGCTCAGTTATGGATTATTTGTGAATTTTAATTTGTATTATCTCTTCCTTGCAGTGAGATCTTTTTGAACAGAGCCGGTATTTGTAGAAGTCTGATTAGTCACACACACACACAAAGGTAGCTGTTACCTGTGGCACGCTGCATAAATACCGAAGCACTTCCCCAATATACTGTATCACTGTTACGTTGTATTTCCTGCAGTCATCCCAGAACTGGCTTGCTGAAAATTTAGCTCGCAAAACAATAGTTGCACCTGTGTAGAAAGAAGTAAAAAAAAGACAGAAAGAAAATTGTTATGATATCATAACACTAGATGAAATTTTAGTGCAATATTATAGAAAACCTGTAGAATTATTGTCTAATAGGTTTTAGAAATATTTTTCCTACAACATACGGAAATACCATCCACATTGAATAATTAATTCAACCTCTACTTCAATTCATCCAAAAGTTAAAAGCTATTATGGTAGATGAAACATATGGCACTCTGTACAGCTTAACCCAAAGACTATGCAAAGAGCTATCATGTAAGATATGACCTATCCTGTTTATCCAGGTGCTGAAATAAGATCTGTATAATACAAAGATCTRTGCARATCATGTGAAAAATAAAAGAGTAATAAGAAACGGGAAGTCTCTTAGCTTATGGGGTGCCAGATTATTGAGACACGTATAACCATTTCACCTCGAGGTTGGTAGCTGAGGAGCAGCTCGATCTGCCCGATCACACCTGTGTGTGACATTGCACAGTAACAGCCTCTACCAGTCAAGTGTATTGCACCTTTCATGATGCACCCGTTGACTCCAATGAGGAGGGCAGAGCTGTGGTAGAGTGGCAGAGCAGTGTACACGATATCTTCCGAGGTGACCTTGCCAGCATCGAACAAGCCACAAGCGAGAAGTATTCGTTCATGGTTTATCACCGCAGCCTTGGGAAGACCTATTTAAAGACGACCAAAAAGATGAACAATAAACCCTAGTAAGACCATCAGTTTCACGGGGGTTTAAGAAAGGGTTTGCTCTCTTGTTCTCTGACTAAGCAAATAATAGTTCCAGAGTTCAGGGAAGTATGCATTTAGTGTAGCTAAATTTTGTAAGGTTTTTTTTTTTTTTTTTTTTTTTGTGAGGAGGCAGAATTATTAGGTATCAGTATCAAATTTGCAGTCATCTCAGAGGGAATTACATGAAATAACAGATTCTATTCTTACACAAAATCACAATGTCAGAAAGCATGTGTGGCCTTCCATGTATATTTTATGAATTTACATTACCTGTAGTCCCAGAGGTATAAATGTACATGGCAGGAGTTTTAGAGGTTATATCTGATCTCCAGGACAGTGGAGTAGGCTCATCTGAGGCAGCATCTACTTTATCCAGAAAGCTTTCAACTCCTTCCGTAACAGATGTCCTGCTTAGGTAATAAACTTTGACATTTTGTTCCTTCAGGGATGGCAGTATTTCTTCAACAGATTCTTTCAACTCTTAAAGGGAGGGAAAAAGGGAGGTATTAAAATATATATATATATATAAAATATATACTGTTCAGTATACGGTACTATCACTGCATCAGCTTTTGCCTCAGGAGCTTTCATGCTCAACTGCTGTTAGAGAARCTCCTGTCTTTCACTTATTGAAGCTCTGTAAGGCCAATCTTCCTTCTCTACCGGCTGGCAATTTCTGCCAAGTCTGAAAGTACGTAATCATCCTTGACACTTTTATTCCCTTAACAAATTGCACTGGATAACAAATTCAAGTGTTGTTAKTAAAGATGAGCAGATACTTGATGTATTTGTATACTCAATTATTGAGAAATGAGAAAAATGAATTTTCTCTTGTGTGCATTAGTTTTTCAAAACTAATTGGTATTTATCAATACGTATGGGGAAAAACTAATGCAYGCAAGAGCAGTCTGATTCCACAGAGCTTATTTTCAGTGCAGTGAAAACTCACCAAGAAAGGTGAACTCTTGACATGTGCAGCATATAAAATACTTCCATCACATACAGTAGAGGAATGAGTTCAGCTACCTAAGCTCAGAGTGTGATGTAAATGTGGGCAGATAAACAGAGTCTTTGACTTCCCATACAGTCAGGTGTTCATATACATACAAATCTATATACAGACAGCTGAAAGATGAGACACAAAATGAGGTCTCTCTTCACTATGGAACAGAATGCTGTTTTACACTTACAGCAGCACATCTATTTTATGGAAGGTTCACCTCGGTATGGTCGCTTTGTGTCTCCGAACTGAAATTTGACATAAGTTTTTATACAGAATGCAGCCACCATAAGGAGTCTAAGTCGCTGTCAAGTTGCACCAAGCGGACTCTTCTGCCTTTGTTTCCAACCTGAACACCACTGGGGACAACACTGTGTACGACTGACTGCTATTTTAGTACGATGGCTTCATCAACCTTCCAAATAACTAAGCACCTGGGCGCAACTCTGCTGTCTTGCCCTCGRCCAGAAAGTGCAAAGCATCCAGAAATCCCAGGTCTGCTGTAACCTCCCGATCCCCAGGGTCAGCTCTTGGCTGGGGCAGGCGGCAGGAGAASAGCGCGCTGCTCTCCGCACCCTGCAGCGGCCGGACAGCCGCCGGAGCAGCCTCTGCAACCCGCACCCCGCCAGCGCGCCGCGCTCCGCTCTGCTCCTCTCCGCTGCCCTCCTCACCTGGCGCCGCGAGCAGCACCGCGGCCGCGCTGCTCTGCAGGCAGCGCAGCAGGGACGCCGCCCTCACGCTGCAGTTGAGACAGGCCACGGCGCAGCCCAGCTTGGCGCAGCCCAGCCAGAGCCACACGTACGCGGGCCGGTTGCCCATGAGGAGGGCGAGGCAGCCGCCCGCGCGCAGCCCCGCGGCGTCGCGCAGCGCCCGCGCCGCCTGGCTGCTCCGCCGCTCCACCTGCCCGTAGGTGC